GAAAGAAAGAAAGAAAGAAAGAAAGAAAGAAAGAAAGAAAGAAAGAAAGAAAGAAAGAAAGAAAGAAAGAAAGAAAGAGAAATTTCCAATGTCTTTGGGAAGATGTGCAGGACATGAATCTCTCCCCCCCTCCCGTTGTGCCTTGCACGGTCCCTCCCAGTGAGGAGGGGGGGACTCTGCCTCCAGAAGGGGAGGGAAGGGACGGAGAGGGGAGCTCTTTGGGGCTGGTCTGCCCTTCCCCTCTTCCTACCCTCCCATTCCCACATGAAACCAGATTTAATGCAAACAAGCTGTCCTGGCTCAGAGCTGCCCAGGACGCTGCGGAGAGCAGAGCAGAGCGGAGCCCATCCAGGCGCCCCGAACTCGGAAAGAAACTTCCCGTGAGGAATCACCAGCTGCCTTCCCACCTCCTCTTCCCTGGGTGAGTCCCTGCCAGGCGCTTCTCCTGCCCAGTTGGGCTCCCTCTGCCATTCTCCCTGGCACTGGGGAATCGTGGTGGGATCCTGTCACCCCTCCCGCCCTGCCAGACACCCCGGGGCACTTTTAAAGACCACTGCAAGGGGGCCAAGAGCTCCCCTCTGCCCCTGATTTAATTCCAAGGACGAGGAAAGGGCCAGCAGGGCCTGTGAGTGCCAGTCAGAGAATCCCCCCCCCTCCCCTGCCGCTGCATCTGGAGGGTTGCCACTGTGAAGAGGCGAGAAGGGTGGGCAGTTGGGGGATGTCCGGTAGACTTCAGAGACCAACGGAGGCTCCCTGCTGACCGACTGCCTTAAGCAAAGTTTGGCTTTGATGCCCACAACCCTTTTGCCGCCGTCTCTCGCCATCGTGTGCCCAGCCCTTCAGAGCTGCAAGACGGGCACCCACCTGCCTCTCTCGGGTCAGGGTAGGCAGGCTTTTGAGGGGAGGTCTGGGGATCCAAGCCCCAACTCTCCCACTCACCTTGACCAGGTCTCTTCTCTCTCCATCCCTTCCCCGAAGGGATCGATTTCCAGGCTGGGATTTCCTTTCTCCTGCACATGGGCAAAGGGCTTCTGCTTGGCTGGCAAGCGGGCCCTGTGGTGCCTCCCCTTCTGCAGGGGGAGCCTGGGGGCTGGAATGAGAGAAGAGCCCCCCCCTCCACCTGAGAACCATCCCCTATCGATAGCCTTTATGGCTGCATCCTTCCTCTGAGTTCGCGGACTTTACAATATTAACAAGAAGTGAATTTAAAGGGATTTGCCTGTCTTTTCAAATCAGACATTTATAAATTCTTCTATCATCTCCATCTCTTTCTCTCTTTCTATTTCTTTATCTTTTCTCTTTCTTTCTCTCTCTCTCTCTCTCTATTTCTTTCTCTCTCTCTTTCTCTCTATTTCTTTCTCTCTCTCTCTCTTTCTATTTCTTTCTCTCTCTTTCTATTTCTTTATCTTTTCTCTTTCTTTCTCTCTCTCTTTCTTTCTCTCTCTCTCTCTCTTTCTTTCTCTCTCTCTCTTTCTATTTCTTTCTCTCTCTCTCTCTTTCTATTTCTTTCTCTCTCTCTCTCTCTTTCTATTTCTTTATCTTTTCTCTTTCTCTCTCTATTTCTTTCTCTCTCTCTCTTTCTCTCTCTCTCTTTCTCTCTCTCTCTTTCTATTTCTTTCTCTCTCTCTCTCTTTCTATTTCTTTCTCTCTCTCTCTCTCTTTCTATTTCTTTATCTTTTCTCTTTCTCTCTCTATTTCTTTCTCTCTCTCTCTTTCTCTCTCTCTCTTTCTCTCTCTCTCTTTCTATTTCTTTCTCTCTCTCTCTTTCTATTTCTTTATCTTTTCTCTTTCTTTCTCTCTCTATTTCTTTCTCTCTCTCTCTCTTTCTTTCTCTCTCTCTCTTTCTATTTCTTTCTCTCTCTCTCTCTTTCTATTTCTTTCTCTCTCTCTCTCTCTTTCTTTCTCTCTCTCTCTTTCTATTTCTTTCTCTCTCTCTCTCTCTTTCTTTCTCTCTCTCTCTCTTTCTATTTCTT